TTAGAGTTCCGCGATCTTATACATTTTCTAGCCTCCTTCGCAGTCTTGTTGGGCGTCGGTGTTATTTTTAATCTAAGCGACGCGAGTAATATGCGGCCGCGAGGGACGATTTGCTGCCGAGGGAGTTTCTGTCACGGAGAGAAGGTTTCGCGCTCCAACCTTCTCTCCGTGGCAAAAACTCCCTCGGCAGCAAATCGTCCCTCGCGGCCGCATACTACTTGCGTCGGACTGCGAAGGAGGCTATACATTTTCCAACTAATTATATAATATGAGTTTAGTATAAATGATTTGGAGCTTTCCCCCCCTACAGACTATAGCAGTACTGACTGGTCCCTGATTTGTGAGTGTGTGTTCAGACGTACCTTTAGCCTTGTAGGCAAAGCTTTCTTCCTCGCCAGGAGTTTTGTTTCCGTGAGCGGCCTCTGGTTCTGGTTTGTCGTGGACAGACCCGTCTTCTTCGTGAACATCCTCCGCCGTACGGTAGACAGACTCGTCTTCTTCGTATCCGTGAACATCCTCTGGAATGTCGTAGTCGTAGACGGAGCCTTCTACGTACTCCAAACATTCATCGGGCACAGGGTGCAGACGCCCCGAGCTGAGCCTTCTGATGTCCACGGTCGCCCCGCTTTTGTCCCCTCCGTCCGGAGGGAGCTTTTTTTCGGTTGCCGACATTTCTGTGCCGACAAAAACAACACACAATTAATACATATCCAAACATCATTGGCTCGTTTACATGTATATTGTAGTAGCATTACATGGGCGCACTAATATTCACAAAGCAGATTTATTCGGGGGCAAATGGGAACTCATGTGGCCAATTTGATCGTCACCTTTAACCAAGGACGTTCTATCTTGTAGAACTTCCTTGCTTTAACGAACAACGTACATGTATAGAACAACAGGTTAAGATTGTTGCCTTGTGCAAAGATACGGGGGCCTAAACTCGCCAGTTTGGGGCGTGTCCAGGTAGTTCGTATTTTTACATTCAAGGAAAAATGGTAGTCTCCACCAGACTCCTTTGCAGGCTGAATAAATAGTAGAAATCGGCTAAGGGGAACAGCATTGG